ATTCCGGGATCTGAGAAAAGTACTTAGAAATGAATGAAAATTGGCCAGGCGCGGTGGCTCAAGCCTGTAATCCCAGCACTTTGGGAGGCCGAGGCGGGTGGATCACGAGGTCAAGAGATCGAGGCCATCCCAGTCAACATGGTGAAACCCCATCTCTAATAAAAATACAAAAAATTAACCGGGCGTGGTGGTGCGTGCCTGTAATCCCAGCTACTCAGGAGGCTGAGGCAGGAGAATTGCCTGAACCCAGGAGGCGGAGGTTGTGGTGAGCCGAGATCGCGCCATTGCACTCCAGCCTGGGCAACAAGAGCGAAACTCAGTCTCAAAAAAAAAAAAAAAAAAAAAAGAAATGAATGAAAATCAGGCTGACCCTGGCTTTTCCTCTTTGATAGAAAATTCAGGGAAACACTAGAATACCATCTACATGGTTGAGGGGAAGGGTTAGAAACCCAAGTAACCAGAGACTACTTGCGTAGTCTGACATCTGTGAAAATAACATACTTGGCTGTTTTTGCTTTGAGAGTACATATCACCAATAAGCAGCTTAAGAAAAATATTACTTTAGTTCAACCATCATGGAAGACAGTGTGACAATTCATCAAGGATCTAGAACCAGAAACACCATTTGACTGGGGTGAGTGTGGTGAGGAGGCAGCAGGGGCAAAGGCCCTGGGGGTGGGTGTGGTGAGGAGGCAGCTGGGGCAAAGGCCCTGGGGTGAGTATGGTGAGGAGGCAGCTGGGGCAAGGGCCCTGGGGTGACTGTGGTGAGGAGGTAGCTGGGGCAAAGGCCCTGGGGTGGGTTTCATTATGAGGCAGCTGGTAAATGTCATCAGCCTGGTGTCTATATGCATGGCCCAGTTCCCCTAGTCCACTCCCCCAGGGGCGTCAAATGTCTCAGCCTTGCACGAGAGATTTCCCGACTTTCCAAACTTGTCAGTCCTCGAGGTTTGTCTTCCTGGATGAGTTTCTGCTGTGCCTGAGAGGTGGCCAAGGGCCACGTGACAGGGGGAGAAACTAGCCCAGCAGGCCTGGGTTTGCCTACCACCCTGCCTCTCACTTGCTGTGTGACCTGAGGCAAGTTACCAGAACTCTCTGAATATGTTTTCCTAGCGGAGCTTTTGATACATGCCTGGTGTGGGGTGTGCGGTCAGGAAATGCTGTTTCCCTGCCACTTTTCAATGTTTCCTCTTCTCAGCCGACATTTAAAACAGTTCCCATAGGCTGGGCACAGAGGCTCATGCCTGTCATCCCAGCACTTTGGGAGGCCAAGCAGTAAGTACCCCATGGGCAACAGATGTGCTGCCTGGGAAGCAATGCTGGAGGCTGTGCCCACTTGGGCAGATGGCCAAGATGAGGCGGGCACCAGTTTAGCCCAGCCACAGACAAAGCTGCTGAGGCTCTGTGTCTCTGTGCCTGCCTGGCACAAGATATGGAGCCAGGACTGAGTGGGCCTCTGTGTTCTTGGCTGACCAAGGATGAGACTGGGGCATGCTGGAGAGAGAGCTGACTCCCGACAACCTGGGCTTTGTGTGGAGCAGGTAAGGGCGCCCCCCCACCACTTGTCTCCCCATGCCAGTGGTGCAGTGCCCAGAGCCTGCAATCCTCACTCTGGGTGTGGGCCAAGAAAGAACGGACTCTTTGGCTGGTACGCTAAGCGACCTTCAGGCTATCTGGGACCAGCTCTGACAGCCTCTGCTCTGGGATCAGCTGCTGCAGCAGCCTACACATGCCATGGGGCAGCAGCGGTGGCATCCCTGGACATCGACCCCAGTAGCATGGAACCCAGGACCAGGTACTGCCACAGTCAGCCAGCAGGTGCGGGAGGGCAGGAGGCGCTCAGTCACAACTCTGTGGCTGCACAGTGCCCAGCACCTGCAAACCTGTGCTCTGGGCCAGGCCTAAGGAAAGGTGGACCCAAGGGTGGGATGGCGGTACACTCCCCAATCCCCACGCCCTCGGGGAGCAGCCCCACAAGAATCTGCCATGGGCTCAGCCACAGATGCAACCTGGAAATGGCACAAGTCAGTATCAGTGGCAACCCCTGGCCCTGTCCTCCCCCACCTGCAGCAGGAATCCCAGGGCCAGATGTCACCATGGTGCCTAATTTAGGCGGTCGGTGGCACAGTTACAGGGTGATGGAAACCGGCGCTCAGACTCATCCTGGGTGCTACAGTGGGCCCAGAGCCTGCGACCCCACACTCTGGGCTTGGGCCAAGGTAGCACGGAGCTTAGGGTGAGGGGAGGTGCCCTGGGCGACTCCCAGGCTGTCTGAGACCAGCCCTGCAGCCTCCTGTGCATTCTGCTGCACCTGCCACTTATAGATGGCATTCGGCAGCGTGGTGGCAACCCCTGATCCTGCCCGCTTCCTCCAGCAACGCGGACCTAAGGGCCAGACCCTGCTGTGGCGCCTAAATCAGGCCCCGCAGCAGGAGGAGGACTGGAACTGGCACCCAGCCCCATCCCAGTGGCTCTAGGGAAACCAGCGCCTGTGACCAGTGCCCTGGACCAGGGACAAAAAGGAACAGAAGAATGGAAACCAGCACTGCCACCCTACGGCTCAACTGTAGCTGCCACCTGCACACGGCACATCAGAAGCAGTGGCAACCCCAGCTCTGCCTGCCATAAACAGCAGGGGGGGACCCAGGGACCAAGCCCGCCTCAGAGGCTGCCACCTGGCCACCTCTGCACCCGTCCCTGCCCTGGTGGCAGCCAGCCACACTCCTACCTCTCCTGCGCTCTGCAGTCTTCGTCGCTGCCACCCACTGCAGCGAGGCAAGCCGTGGTGCCATAGGCTCCAGCCTCCAGCATGCAGCAGATAGCTCTTCCTTCTCGTGGCATGGAGCAGCTGGGCGGGCAAAGCCAGAAAAGCCTAGAATGGGACACAAGAGAATGGTAGCATTAGACCCCCCATCATGTCATGCTGGCTACTGGGTGGCATGGGCCAGTTTCAGTCAAGGCACGGGCCAGTTTCAGTCAAGGCACTCACCCCTACCCTCCAAAGGCCACAGCATCTCTTTTTGGCCCAAACTGGCTAGGGAGTAGAGACTGGAGGCACCATGGTGCCTGGGCTTCCCACTCCATAAGAACCACTGGGACCACCCAGGCTGTGCTCAGGAAGCAGGAGCAGCAGAAACTCAGCCCCAGCCAGCCCTCCCCACCCATGTGCTGGTTCCCATTCCTGAGACATCTACCCACAGGGCCCTGTCACCCCATGGTGTCTGCTACAGAAATGTGTGCCTGCCATGCAGTAGCAGATGGCCCTGTAGAGTTTAGACTCCGGGGAGAGGAGAACCACTCCTCTCTCAGAGACCACCGCTGTCACTGAAACCTCCATCACCTGCCACCAGCAGTGCAGCTTCCGACAGAGCCCCTAACCCGCTGCCACCTGCAGTGCAGCTTCCGACAGAGCCCCTAACCCGCTGCCACCGGCAGTGTAGCCCCAGGATAGCGCCAGCACCCCATCCCCCACCACCGGCAGGGCAGCCCCAGGATAGGGACAACACCCCATCCCCCACCACCGGCAGTGTAGCACGTCATGGCAGCCCCTAACCTGCCCCTGCCTTAGACACTGCAGCACTCAATGGCACCCGCAAACCACCCCCCTACCATGGGCAGCACAGCCAGGGATAGCACCCCAACAGGCTCCCTGGGGTGGGCAGTGTAGCCACAGATAGCGTCCCCAAGCAGACCCCCACCACAGGCAGTGATGCCCCCATATGGCACCCAAACCACCCCCCACTGTGGGCGCTGCAAGGAACAGTGCAGCCCTGGATAGCGCCCCCAACCAACTCTCTGCCTTGGACAGTGCAGGTACGATAGCACTCCAAACTCCCTCTCCACCTTGGAAAGTACCCCCATGGCTAGCTCGGGTAGCCCCTGATAGCGCACCCAACCTGCCCCTGCCACAATCCATGCAGCCCGGAAGAGCACACTCACCCGCTCCTTACCAGGCAGCGCAGATCCCTGAGAGCACCTGACCCACCCACCCGCTGCCTCCCCACCACTCAGGCTGTGTATCTGGCCCCAAGAGTGCCCCCACCAACCCTCTACCCCACTCCACAGGCAGTCCAACCCTGTAGCTCTCCCAACAAGCCCCCCAACCTCTGTCTCAGTGTAGTGCCCATGACGCCTTTAACACCACCCCTCCCCCCTACCAGCAGTGTAGCACCCCCTAAACGATCCTCCACCGCCAGCATTGCAGCCCCAGACAGTGCCCCCAACCCACTCCCCATGTGGGTGATGCAACCTTGGATAGTGCCCCCAACCAGCTCCCAGACACAGGCAATGATGTCGTGGATCTCACACCCGCCACCCGCCACCTCCCCCACTGGGGGCAACGTAACACCTGACAGCACCCGAACCCATCCCTCGCAGCTGGCAGTGTTGCACCCCATAGTGCCACCAACCCATCCCAGACAAAGCAGGGAGCCGCGGAGAAGGAGCTGGCAGGTCTGGAGGATTCCCGGTGGGGTACAAGACCCCGCTACTTACCGCAGAGACTTGTCTCGTCCTCCACCTTCACGTTGAAGCCACCGTGGCTTCTCCAAAGAAAGTCGCTCTGACCGCGCCACCGCCGCCTATGCAGACTTCCCTCCAGCGGCCGGTGCAGCCTACACCGACTTCCCTCCGGCAGGGCTGGGGCCGCCGTCGCCACTGCTGACTTCCCTGTGGCCGGGAGGGACTGGCCGGGGCCGCCGCCTCCGACTTCTCGAGGGCCGCAGCCTCCGCCGCCTCCGACTTCTCGAGGGCCGCAGCCTTCTCTCTGGCCGGCCCGGGCGGGCTTTTTTGGGGTCACGCACGCTGACAGGCACTCGCCTCGAGGCTGAAGCACCACACCCTCTTAAAGGGGCCACAGCTCAGCCTGGCTAGAATAGCTTCGGGTTGGATGAGAACAAGTTTTAGCTTAGCCAATCAGACCATAGAAATAAAGCCCAATTAGAGTAGACCTTGAAGTTTGCTCTCATCCAATCCGAACATGTAGTCTAGGAACCCCGCATATAAAGGACGGCAAGCGGGAGTCTCGCCATTTCAGACGTGGGCCCACCTGCTCCGAGCTGGCTTCGAGCAGAAGTGGGAGTAGCCGGCCACCGCCCATGCTGGAGGCTAGAGTCTGTGGTATCGGCTTGGCTCGGCTCGCCTCGCTGTTGCGGTTGTTGGCACTGACGGAGACTACGGCGCAGCTAGAAAGGTAAGATGGCGGCATAGGTTCACCATCTTGGCCCACACAGCCTTAGGCATGGGGGACGACTTGGGAGTGACACGCCATGGGCAGTGGGCACTATCCACGGTGTCACTGCTGGTGTTGCGGGGGCTAGTGGGGGGGTTATTTGAGGCGCCACAGCCCGCGTAGGGGAGAGGGTTGGGGGCCCTTTCCTGGGGTGTGCTGCCCATTGCTGGGGGCTGGGATGGGGCCTGTCCCAAGCGGTACTGCCAGCAGCAGTGGGGCTCCTATTTGAGATCCTGCAATGGCTCCTCACCGCTCTCAGGATAAATCTGTACTTTTCATGCTGACCTACACAATCTGGTTCTGTCCAACTTTGTGTTGTGTCTCTGTGCTCCTTGCTCACTACACTCCATCCGCACTAATATGCCAGCTTCTTAAACATGCTAAGTTCAGTCCTATTCAGAACCTTTGCACAGTCTAGCCCCTCTGTCTGGAATTTTCTTGACCTTATTATCTCCTTATCATCTTTAGGTTTCAGCTTCAATATTAGTTTTATACAGAGGCCTTCCATAAAAATTCCATCCAAAATACATCCTTGACGTTATTTTTGATTTCATCACCTCTGTTTCTTTCGTAGCATATATGCAGTTCATGTTTTTGAACTTGTGTTGGTTCCCTTCCTTACGGAGTTGTGATCTCCACTAGGGCAGTGGCTCTGTGTCTCTTTGCCATTCTGTCCTGGGCTCTTAGCAAGCTGTCTTGCACATAGTAGGTATTCCAGAGATACTTGTTCAATAAATGAACCACTTAATTCAAATTCCTCATAATAAAATGGGAAATTAAGTCTGTTGAGGTGAAGTGTTTTACTCAGTGCAACATGAAGACTTAATGACTGGATCCATCCCTTTCCATGTCAGGCATTGGATTTGGTTGTACAATGACGGAAAGGTAGTAGAAATAGTTTCCTGAGCCTCTCATTCAGGTATTGGATGAGACTAGCTACATGTTTTTAAGTTACATGCTTGATTTAGGTAGGTGAAATGTTATGACTCTGTAGTTGGAGTTTAATCAACTTCTGTCAGCCTGTCTCTGAATGTGGGGACTGTGGGCTTCCCTGCAATCACATATTCCTGATGACTCGACTTATGAGAATCACATAAACCAAGAAGAAACTTCTCTACCAAAGTTCATAATCTTTTAAAAGGATCGTTCAACATGGTCAGTCTGTAAGAGAGTAATTCTTGATAAGCGACTGAGAGACCACTGCCTTTTCTTTTCCATTTTCCTGTCTGGAACCTCCTGCAGGGATCCTTCCTGACAAGAACAGAAATCGTTCTCAAGAGATAGCCTACAACACAACCAAAGCCTATGGCTAGCCTGGAATAGCTGTAGGGACAGAGGAGGACACTGAGGTAATGCTTGTTGTGATTCAGCCTTGCCTTTGTATTTCTTACCTGCACAGCATCTTGGCACATGGTATTTGCTCAGTGTTACAGTCACTGTTGGTTCTCCTCCCTTTAAAGATTCCTTTCATGGGGTCAGGGTGCCTGTTGGCCGCTGCTGTGAGCATTGGTTGCTCACAGTTCAGACTTGTCCCTCTTGTTGGCCTAGAAAGCTGCGTCATCTAGAAATGTTTGGGAGGTACGTTTCTTGCCATGCCTACACTTAACCAAGGGCAACCCCCAGCCAATGACTGACAAATACGTGGATAAAAACATCTGGGCTTGTTGAGAAAGTGGGACAGTTGGGGTGCTATTCATGCTCCAAAATTCCCTGTGGAAGCAGAAGAAGTGTAGACGTTGGCTTCACCTGCATCTTCCTCTAGGTTTTTTTCCTGTTCTATCCTCCCATCACTTCCTTACAGATTTTACCTGCAGGCATGTCCTCAATCAGTCATTTGCACAATATTCCCTGTCTCAGACTCTGTCTTTAGGGAACCTGACCTAGAAAGCTTAGAATTTGGGAGCAGTTGTAAATGATATAGTTGAGAGATTATCTTAATGGCTCAAACTGCTAATATCCCTGGAGCCATATTTCAGGGTACCAGTGACAGTCCCTGGGAATGAGATGTACCTATAAAGTTCCTGTTTTCAATTTCAGCCTGATCCATCCCAATTGTAAAGGATTGTCACTATGTGTTACTTAGCAACACCTCAGTCTCTAGGGCTGAAGTGAAGACAGAATGGTCTTTTTGTTACCAGAAAAGGGTCCTGATCCAGATCCCCTCGCATCCAAGAGAGGGTTTTTGGACCTTGTGCAAGAAAGAATTTGAGGAGAGGCCATAGAGTAAGATGAAAGCAAGTTTATTAAGAAAGCAAAGGAATAAAAGAATGGTTACCCCACAGGCAGAGCAGTGGCATGAATGCTTGATGAATTACAGTTATTTCTTGATTGTATGCTAAACTCTTGATTATTCATGAGTTTTCTGGAAAAGAAGTGGGTAATTCTTGGAACTGAGGGTTCCTCCCTTTTAGACCACATAGGGTAACTTCCTGAGGTTGGCTTGCCATGGCATTTGTAAACTGTCATGGCACTGGTACGGGTGTCTTTTAGCATGCTAATCCATTATAATTAGCATATAATGAACAGTGAGGATGACCAGAGGTCACTTTTAATACCGTATTGGTTTTGCCAGGTTTTGGCTGGCTTCTTTACCACAGCCTGTTATCAGCAAGGTCTTTGTGACTTGTATCTTGTGGTGACCTCCTGTCTCATCATGTGACTTAGAATGCCTAACCTCCTAGGAGTACAGTCCAGTAGGTCTCAGCCTCATTTTACCCAGCCCCTTTTCAAGATGGAGTCACTCTGGTTCAAACACCTTTAACATTTGAGTACGAAGTCATTCCCCTGTCAGTTAATTACAGACTAAGCACCCTTGACAATCCTATTTCATCTATCCCAAAATAAGTTCTTCTTGTAAAAAAACAAAAAACATGGCAGTGTTCATTTGCACACTGCCTCTTCAAGTCTTCTGGTCTTTCTATCTTCTGGGACTAGACCAGTTGATTCTCATCTTTTGTTATACTAGTCTAGGAAAATTTTGTCCTAGAAATTCCGATTTAACCCAGAAGCACTTGACGAAGCAGGTGTGCTCTTAGAGAGTATGGTGACTAAACATTGGCACTGCTTGAGCCGTCCCGGAAGCAGATTCTGAGTGGAAATGAATGCACATGAAATTTAAGGAGTCCTATGGCGATTGGCAGTTGTGGAAGGGAAGAAAAGAAAGTGAGATTGGGCAGAGGGAGAATTGAACTGCAATGCAGTCACAATGGAAGCCTCAGCCAACCCATGGGGAGCTTTGATGTTGGAGTGGTCCTTCAGAATTGTCCCGGATGCACCATCATAGTAATTGTTCATCAGACACGGCTGCCCCAGGAATGAGGTCATCTGGAATGTGGAGGCTTTCTCTAACAGAAGCAATCCTTGTGGGGTGAGGACGGCTGAGAGCTGTCTTCCTGAGCACTCCCAGCAGTGACAGACTATTCTTTCATTCCTAAAGAGAAATATGGGTAGTGTAGGGACACTTACAGTCATTTCTGTGCTTAGGAAGTTCTGAGACAGACAGAGGCCTGGTCTGCTGCTCTAAGATTTATTTTATGTGGTCTCACTCTTTGAGGACACACTTGACCCAAAGCCCGTCTTCCAGAATCTAACTGGAAAACTCACACAAGTGGGTAAGTTGCTGGCTCTGGCTGTTTTTAGGTTTTCATAGTTGCATGGGGCTGGATTTGAGCATGGGCTTATTTCTATGGTGGCTCCTAGGTGCTGGTCCAAGAAGAAAATAGAGTTGTTTGAAGTCGTAGGTGTTCTATTTGAGGATGGTGTTTTTGTAACATAAGATTATGAATTCTATTCCTGGAATCATATGATTTATATTTAGCCAGGAGTTGGGCTGGCTGTGTGTCTTTGACCACATATCTATTAAAAGAAAGCCCTGGGCAAAAATGTCTGTGGTTTGTGTGTGTGTTTGAATTACTCATCTATTATACATGCATCTATTTCTAGTGAGTGCTACATATAACTAGAAGAAAGGCTTATCTCTTACCTAATGCTCTAATATCTGCTTATTATGTAATTTCTCTTACCTAATGCTGAAGAGGCAATGGTGGGTAGGCCTTATGAAGGTTTTGTTATAGAGATAACTTCCCTGTCTATAGAGGTATTATGTTATCTAGCTTCTAACTCTGGGAATATCTGGCAAGAAAGACATAAATATTGAGTTGCAGGGAAATGTTTAGTGTGTAAGGAGGAACTAGCTGACGTGTCTATAGGTGTTGCAGATTAGCTCATTGTTTGGCAAATATTTACTCTTTCTCCCTACTGCCCCCATGGGAGGAGTGTATTTCCCTACTCTGCTGATCCAGATTTGGGATTGTGATTTGCTTCAGCTAATGGATTCTATAGGAAGTGACAGTGTGTGAGTTCTGATTCCAGTTTGCATGTGTCCACATGAACCTCTGGAAGTCTTCAACTTCTTTTTGATATGAGCAGCTGTCTCTCTAGCAAAGGGTCTAGAATGACCACTTGTGGAATAGAGTTATTCCAGCTGACTTGCAGCCTAAAGCAAAGTGTATTAGTCTTTCTCACACTGCTAAAAAGAAATACCTGGCCGGGCACGGCGGCTCAGCCTGTAATCCCAGCACTTTGGGAGCCCGAGGAGGGTGGATCACAAGGTCAAGAGATCGAGACCATCCTGGTCAACAAGGTGAAACCCCGTCTCTACTAAAAATACAAAAAATTAGCTGGGCATGGTGGCGCATGCCTGTAATTTCAGCTACTCAGGAGGCTGAGGCAGGAGAATTGCCTGAACCCAGGAGGCGGAGGTTGCGGTGAGCCGAGATCGCGCCATTGCATTCCAGCCTGGGTAACAAGAGTAAAACTCTGTCTCAAAAAAAGAAAAAGAAATACCTGAGACTGGGTAATTTATAAAGAAAAGAGGTTTTATTGAGTCTTGATTCCACAGGCTGTACAGGAGGAATGGCTGGGGAGTCCTCAGGAAACTTACAATCGTGGCAGAAGGTGATGAGGAAGCAGGCACATCTTCACACGGCCAGAGCAGGAGAGGGGAAAGGTGCTACACCCTCTTAAACAACAAGATCTCATGAGAACTCTATCATGAGAGCAGCACTAGGAGGATGGTGCTAAACTATTAGAAACTGCCCCCACCTCTAACATTGGGGATTACAAGTGAACATGAGGTTTGGGTGGGGACACAGATCCCAACCATATCACAGAGTCTTAAGGTGTAGTCACTGAGTTCTAGGTTGGCTTGTTACTCAGCATTATTATGACAGTTGCTGATTGATATAAGAAGTGTGTTTCAACTTCTGTGTAAATTTCTTTTTCCCTGGAGCTTGTGCTTATACATCAAGTTTGCTTGCTTTTATGGTTGCAAGTTGGATGAAACTTTAAAAAAAGAAAACACAAAATATGATCATCAAACCTTTGGTTTATTCAGAGTAGTGAGTTTGTGATGAGAAAGGATGGCTGCCAGCTGAGGACAGGATAGAGGACTGTGTGTAAGGTCACAGAAGAGCTGCAGACTAGACAACTGGGCAACTGGGCATGTATCACAAGGAAGGTGGGGCAGTTCTCCCATTGCTAGGGATTGCGGCTGTTACTTGAATTAGGTAAGTGGCCTAGTTGGACATACACAGTTGAGGAAGAGCCCTATAATGGTTTCTGGTGTAAGGGGAAGAGGGGAGTATGGATTTGCTGCCGTGTCAAGTTATGGTCTACTGTTCTAAAATGTCTTGTGGGAAGGAAGGGAGCTGAGTTTCCTTTAGAGGTGCTTGGATTCACCTGCTTCATGAGGCACTGTATGGCTGACTCACTCTACAAGATTAAACCAACAGAATGACATATTTTCTGTGATGTCGACATCTTCCCTGGACCACAAGAGACCAGCAGAGGAAGAGTGGTCTGGGTGGACGGTCAACATAACAACTCTGTCTTTTTTCTTCAGATTGTGTGTTCTGGAGGGAAGTTGGCAAACATCTTTGCCTTTTAGTGTGGACACATCAGGATTTTAGGAAACACACTGAGAATTCAGTCACAGACAGAAATCCCTCTGCACAGCCCTTTTGGCTGCTGCCGATCTCCTTGCTTTAGCGGAGAACCAGTGACAGGTTGCCAAGCGAGTACTGTAGTACTTTGTGAGGTTGAACTAAAATGTGAAAAAATCAACCGATGTTTATGGAATGACTCACATGTCCTGGGGTAGTTGTTTTAAGTGGCTTACTTCATTTGCTCCTCATGCAATAACACTATGAGGTAAGTATTATTGTAAGCATTTTACAGATGAAGAAGCTGAAACCCACAGTTAATCAACTTACTTCCGGTCACACAACGAATTGGCAGAACTGTCTTTTTGATCCAGGTCTTTGGGTTCTCAATCCAGTCTTCTTTCCACTATGCCTGGAACTTTCCTGAAATTTAATTTTTGGCGTAGGAGATACAATTTGGTAGAGAGATGGTGGTTGGCTCTGTTAGATACAAATTGTGGGAATGTAAGGGAAGGCAGTTCAGACTGTCTCATGGAGTGGAAAAAAGACATCCTTGCAGCCCTTGTCAGGAGGATAGGTTAAGAAAATGTGGACTTTTCCGTCGGCCTCAAGCTTTTTCTAGAGCCTTGAACCTGTATTAAAATAGATATTTGCAGCAGGCAGAAAGAGGGCAGGAGTTTCCTCTATCCGTGTAGCCTTTTTCTACTACCTGGTTATGGCAGTGAGAAGACTCCGGATCTCTGGACAATGGGGACTTCTGTTTGATGAGACCCTCTAATACTGCAGAAGCCAATCTAACCCTGAGTGTGCATCTGTTTTCTATTGGTACCTTTGTCAGTCTCGGAGCTGAGAAGGAGGAATGAGCAGACTGAAAATTAGAACGGGCTTTTAACAACTCTGCTGTGTGATTGTGGCAAGTTACTTAGCATTTATCAACTTTGCCTTTCTGTATTGAGAGATTAGATGATATCATTGCTTCTTTCTTCTGTGTAGCAGCAAAAATATATATTTTTAAATTTTATTATACTTTAAGTTCTGAGATACATGTGCAGAATGTGCAGGTTTGTTACATAGGTATACATGTGCCATGGTGGTTTGCTGCACCCATCAACCCATCATCTACATTAGGAATTTCTCCTAATGCTAGCCCTCCCCATCCTCCCACCCCCTGCTATCCCTCACCTAGCACCCCACCGCCGACAGGCCCTGGTGTGTGATGTTTCCCTTCTTGTGTCCATGTGTTCTCATTGTTCAACTCCCACTTATAAGCGAGAACATGCGGTGTTTGGTTTTCTTTTTTTGTGTTAGTTGGAGCAAAAATAATTTTTAAAAATAACATATGACGTGGAATCTTAAGATGTAATATAGATTAAACTCTTCTGGATGAAGCAAGGATTGGATTAGATGCCTGATATGGGCTGAATGTTTGTGTCCACCCACAATTCTTGTGTTAAAACCTAATTATGTGATAGTATGAGATGGAGCCTTTGGGAGACGATCAGGTCATGAGAGCGTCTCACGCGTGGGATTAGTGTCTTATAAAGGAGGCCTCATAGAGATCCCCTTCTACCAGGTCAAGACGCAGCAAGAAGGTACCATCTACGAACCAGAAAGTGGGTCCTAACCCAACAGCAAATCTATTGGTGCCTTGATCTTTGACGTCGCAACCTCTAGAACTATGAGAGATAAATGTGTATTGTTTATAAGCCACCCAGTTTATGGTGTTTTGTTACAACAGTGTGAAGGGAATAAGACAGACCCAAACTGAGGGGACTGTCTGGAAGTCCCTGTGTCATGTTTGAGAAACCAGGGGGTTTGTGGACCAGATTTAAAACTGCTGTTCTGGGTATCTCTTGGGTCTTTTTCAGAATTAACAGCGTGGCATTACAGAACATGGTGGTCTGCATTGCCTTCTAACTGTCCCCCAGGTGTTCATTTCTTGGATGTTTCCAAATCTTCCAGCTTTGGGAGGCATCCTTTGTTATGTATTTATATATTCTTTGAATTGTCAAATGAACTGGCTCAAGCTTCTACCCGCAGGCTTTGCAGTACCCTTTCCATCCATGTCTAAGAATTCTTGAGGGCCGTCCATATCTCTCAGTCATATGTTGCTCCAGTTTTCTGCTTCTCCTAACCACACATTTCCTCTTTTGCAGTTGTCTCTTTCTTCTGCCTATATCAGTTCAACATACACTGCAGCTGCCTTTGCTTCTTCTCCAACAACCACTCCTGGCTGCATGAGCCTTGCTTTTACCGAGAGTTGGCAATAACGGAGGGTCGCAGCGGTGGTCACACTGCCTTATAGCGCAGCAGGTAATTCCAAATGGAATTTTAGCCATCCCTGTTTTATGTAGTCTCATACCATAGCTAGCACGGAAATTTTTTTTTTCAAGGTCACACCCTCTGGGCCTTTATTCAACAGGACCTTCTGGAACCCTCCATGACCCACACAAGGCGTGCTCCAGTAGTCTGGAGCTCAGCCGCCTACAGTCTCTGGGGGTTAGGGGGTGTTGGACTTGGGACCTGTTTTCTGAGTTCTCATTTCTGAGCCAATCCCAAATTAGGGGAAGGTGCTGGATTAACCACCTGCCTCTGCTTTCAGGCTTTAGACGAGGCAGTCGCTGGGGAAGCGCTTATGCTCTGGGATGCTCCTGTAGCTTCAGAGGGTTTGGCCTCAGAAACAGGTAGTGTTACTGGGCTGCATTTCCCGCTGGCTGCCATCCCTCTCCCACTGGTACTGCCTCTGCTCCTGCTTGGCTTGTTCTCACAAGGGCAGGTCCATCCCCTCCACACAGTTCAGCTCCAGTGCGTTTACCAGGGAGTCTCCAGCTTGCTGGAGCTGGAGCTCCCCGAGGACGATGTACATGGAGCCCACATGGGCTTGAAAGGGCTTCACCAACTTGGTACAAACAACCTGGTGTGGACCAGATCCATGCCGAGCCATCAGCGTCACTCTAGCCTGACGATATCATAGAGGCACAACCTGCCAAATGTTCTCAGTGTGCTCCCACCAGGAACTTGGCTTGTATTGACTTTCCAGGGGAAGGAATGGGTCCCAAGTTTGGGCAGCATCACTGGCTCCTTCTCTGCCCCCTCTGCCTGGGTTGCTGTCAGTCACGTGCCAAGGGGAAAATTTCTTGATGGAAAGGATTTCCTTTTAGGGTGCTGGGTTTCCTCATTGCCTGTACTTCCTTAGATCTTCTCTCTTTCCTTCTGAGGCCATTCACTTCTCAGCTTCCTGTGCATGTCCCAATTCTTTCCATTTTTTAGTCATAAAAAGGCATTTATTCTTCTCATTCTTCTCCCGTCTTCTAGACTACCACCGTTGTTCTACCTAAATGGCTCATCAAGGTATGTTGCTTAACAAAAGATAGTTCTGTTCTTACAAGAAATTCTGCCAAGATCCTTTAAAATAATATTGTCCCTCCTTTCTAAAGGTTGGTCATGGAACTATTAATACAGGAGGTATTTCCTGATTTAGCTATAAAATAGGTGTTTTTTTCCCCAAGCCTTAATATTTATCCAGAGAAATAAGATACCTTTATATTGAAGATGGATAATTTGGATATTTGTGATTGTTCTGGAATTTTAAACTTTTATTATCTTTATACAAAAAGGAGAAAAAAAAACAGTAAAGGATACCCATGTTCTCATCACCTGTTGAACAACTTTCAACTCATGGCAAATCCTGTTTTATTTAACTCCCTGCTACTACTCACAGATGGATCATTTTGAAGCAAATCCAGGACACTGAACTTCTGCTCAGACGAGGAATTTTCTCAGCAAGGCAATTTACTTGTGTAGAAGGGTGTGTCTCAAGGATGGAACAATGGTGAGAGCACACCTGAACAGGGCAGAAGAAGGGGTTTTCATCTGACACAGGTAGCCCCTACTGCGGTGTTGTTCCCCTATTGGCTAGGGTTGGACTGCACAGTCTAAGCTAATTCTAATTGGTTATTTTAAAGGGAGCAGGGGTTTGAGCCAGAGTGGTAGAGTGAGCAGTTTGGTGGGAAGGACAGTTATGGAACAGGTAACTAAAGGTGACTCAGGTCAGAGCAGGTGACCAGGGGAACAGATGTGAATTACTGATTATAGCTGGTGGGAAAGTTGTTTACTGAAACTAGAGGCAAGGGGGTGAAGAGAATCAGGAAATTAAACTTTAAAATGGAGAGCAAAGAATAAGAGAGCTGAACATACTGACATACTGATTCTTTGAAAAGAAACTTGGAGCTCACTATATTTAACACACTGTATTCAACTTTACCTGTCAAATAGGCTTAATAGTGTCACCTTTTTCATAGGATGGTTATAAAGATTAAATAATATAAAGCACTTATGCTAAGTGACAAGTAACTATTTCTATTATTATCACTACCTGTATCCATTAGTAATGTCTATAGCAGTGACATACTAAAAGGCCAATTGAAAGTGGCTTAAACATCTAAATTTGTTACCTAAGTAAAGCAGATGAGATGGTGTGGAACTGGGCCAGCAACTCAACAGTGCTATAAGAACTGAGGTTCTTTCTGTCCCTTCCCTCTGCCATCCTCAGCATATTGGCCTTTGGTCATCATTATGACCTCAAGGCTACAAGATGGCTCCCGTGACTCCCAGCAGCCACAGCATCACAAAACAGAAGAAAGGAAGAGTCCAGGGCTTTCTCCATGGGAGGTTCCATCTTTCCTAGAAGTCCTCCAGGAAATGTATCTATAGTGTTCACTGGCCAGAAATGAGTCAGATGCTCATCCTCAGCTGCAAGGGATGCTGGGAAAGAATCTGGCAGAGAAAAGTAGATAACAATGGTTGACTTAGAACTATTGGGATTAATTTTCTTGAGCTGCTGAAACAAAAGAGGAACAAAGGGGAGAAGAGTTGTTGTGTGGACAGTGAAAAGAGGCTGCCATACTTTGTATTAAAAAGATTAAGATTGGGGGTCCAAAGTGGCTCCCGCCAGAGGTCATGGCACTCGCGAAGGCGAGGTCATCAGTTCAAGGCTAACCTGAGCAACCTCATAAGCTCAAACTGATTGGCAAAAAAAAAAAAAAAAAAAAAAAAAAAAGATTAAGATTTGGGAGGCCGAGGCGGGGGATCATGAGGTCAAGAGTTCGAGACCATCCTGGTCAATATGGTGAAACCCCGTCTCTACTAAAAATACAAAAAATTAGCCGGGCATGGTGGCGTGTACCTGTAATCCCAGCTACTTGGGAGGCTGAGGCAGGAGAATTGCCTGAACCCAGGAGGCGGAGGTTGCGGTGAGCCGAGATCGCGCCGTTGCACTCCAGCCTGGGTAACGAGCGAAAACTCTGTCTCAAAAAAAAAAAAAAAAAGATTAAGGTAATATACGTAAAGCACAGAGCATACTACTGGGTATTGAGTATGCTCTCAGGACACATTGGCTGTGATTTTTATCACTAGTTGACATTTGTGTTGCTTTACAGCCATATACATTTTTTTACAATATTATTATTTCCTCAAAACAGATTCCCAGAAGTAGAATTAATTAGGTCAAAAGCACAAGAACAGAAAATGAAATACTCATGTTTTCACTCATAGGCGGGTGTTGAACAATGAGAACACATAGACACAGGGAGGGGAGCACTACACACTGGGGTCTGTTGCGGGGAATAGGGGAGCGACAGCAGGGGATGGGGAGTTGGGGAGAGATAGCATGGGGAGAAATGCCAGATATAGGTGAAGGGGAGGAAGGCAGCAAATCACACTGCCACGTGTGTACCTATGCATGTACCCCAAAACCTAAAATGCAATAAATTTTCTTTAAAAATTAGGTCAAAAGTTCTAAACTCCTGCCAAAACTCCAGAATCTAATTATGAGGAAATAGTAGACAAACTTAAACTAAGGGACATTCTACTAAACAACTGCTTATGGTATATTCTTTAAAAAATACCAGTGTCATGGAAGACCAAGAAAGTCTGAGACGCTGGTACAGATTACAGGGGACTAAAGTGATAAGGCAGCTAAAGACACTGAGGAATCCTGAATCAGGAAAAGAAAAGGTGAATCTGGGATCTGGAAAAAAATACTCTAAATAATATGTTGGAGCAATCAACAGAATCTATATATGGATTGTATGTTTGATAAGGGGATTGTATCAAAGTTGCATTTCCTGAATTTGATACTCATATTGCAGTTGTTAGGGAAACAGGAGCATAGAAGAGGCAGGGTGACGCAATTTGAAATCAACCCCATCTTGAAGCTAGCAAGGCACATTCCTTGCTAGCCACATCCCATGTGCATGTTTATGGCGAAGGAAGCAGCTTAGTAATGCTTGCAAGGACAAATTCCTCCAACAGCAGAATGTCTGGATGCCTCAATATCACACAGCAGTGTATGCTTTTAAGATGATTATAGTCATGCTTTGATGGACGTACACGCTAAAATGCCCAAGGGTAACGTTCTTTACATCAACGAAGTACTAAATTTTGTCATGCTGTCAGCCCACCCACACGTAGACATAGCTTAGCTTACTTTTACATAGATAAGACCCCTGTACCAGAAGAGTTTAAAACAAATACGGCGCAGTCCTCCTCTTGCTTTCTAAGGATGCTATACTCTGTAACTGAGTAGCTTTCAATAAACTCTCTTCTCACTTCACTCTGCAACTTGCCTTGAATTCTTTTTGTGTGAGATCTAAGAGCCCTCTCTTGGGGTCTGGACCAGGACCCATTTTTCCAACAATCCATTTATGAAAGAGAATGTCCTTATTCTTAGAAGATACACACTAAACTATTTAGTATGATGTCTGCAACCTACTCTTAGGGGGTCATCAATATGCTGCTGCTGCTGCTACTGTTAGTAATTTCTCTTAAAATCAGACTATAAATAATAATCACAAAAAAACAATTTGCAGATCCAGTAAACAGAAGTTCATGGTGTGTATGTTTTTCATAAAAAAAATTAAAGATAAAATGTTACAAACTTAATTTTGTTTTCGTTGGTTTGTACCAATTTATAAGCAATGTTAGAAGAAATTCTATTTTATAGAACCCTCATTGAGTTGTTTTCATTTTTGCAACTTTAATAAGCTACAAATGCTTTTCAAAATATTTTTATGTAAGAGTTTATTAGGTGAGTGAATGTTTTTCCATGTTAGTTCACTATATAGTTGTATTTTTGTGTGTGTCTGTTTATGTCATTTCCCACTTGTCTATTAGGGTATTAGTGTTTTCCTTATTGATTTATATTCATCTTTTAAGTAGTATATGACTCCTTAGGGGCATCTCTCTTTAAGTAACTACGATCTCCCTAAATACCTTGAACCATTTGGTGGACAAAGCCCAGGCAGGTTTAAGAATTGTTAGGCCCCTTTTACTGAAGGAGTCTCAGCCACGGGGAGTGCTACTGGCATAAAGTCTTTTACTATCAGCCGCTTCCTGGGGCTGCCTCAGCTGCAGAAAGCCACCTTGTCAGAGGTCATGCCCCTTCCTGGGGCAGCCTATGTCTGATTACTGATCTATCTTAGCCCAAGTCGGGACAACTCTGAAGGGTCATCCTAGCTCCAGAGCTGCCATGAAGTCAGCTAAGACAGCCATGGGCCTGTACTCCGCCTACTACTGATTCCTTTTCCTTTCTATGGCATTTTCTTTCCTAGAGACACTCATTGATTAATCAGCTCCTTGTTGTTCCCATTTATCTCTCAGTATCAACCAAATTTTAGACGATATTTTGAAATGCCCTTTTCCCATTCGGTATTCTCTAATATCCTTCCAGCTCACTTCCCTACCTAATACCATAACAATTCAGAGACCATGACATGCACCAGGACATTTTCAGAAGAGGGAAAAGCAAGCTATGTTCTTACTCTTCACTCTCAATTGACTGGGCTGGAGCAGAGACTGGTCGTGATACCATGGCACAATCCGACTGCACGATCTCTGTGATTCTTGTGAACTATGTAGCAGTGTGACGCTGGTGTAGAGTAAGAGGCCAACTCTGAATGTTGGATCCAGGTGACATGACTGCCATGTCTCCAAACCTATGTCCTTCCCATTAGCAATTTGTGTCTTTTAAGACAGAAGTGCTCAAACTTTGGCAGTGTCAGAATTGCCTGGAGAACTGATAACAAACACAAAAGACCCAGACTCATTGAAGTAAATGAGGCCTGAATATGTGCATTACTATAGTTTCCGATATCCTGCCATTAGACCACATTTGGGGTCATAATTCAGGGTACTTTCCCCTGTATGGGGTACCTCTTGGAGAGAGGAGGACATTATTGGAAAATGGTAGAAAGTTAATGATTATTTTGTTTCATTATTTTACTGGTAGAATTTATTTCAATGCAAAACATACACAGAGACAAGTACATGGTGGTAAACATACAGCTCAATAAATCTGATGAAATAAACACACCAATGTCACAGACCAAGAAAGAGGACATTACTAGCTTCCAGATGCCCTATCATGTGGCTTCTCCAGTAATTCCCTCAAGGATAATGAATATTCTGACTACTAACATCATAGATCAGTTTTATCTTCTTTCGAAGTTTGTTTAAGTGGAATCTTTTCTGTCTGGTAAATACCACACTTCGGAGATTCATCTATATTGTTGCCTCTAGTTGGAGGTTGTTCATTCTCATTATTGGATGGCCATTGTATGAATATACCTGAACAGTTAATATTTGATCAATTAATTTCTTCCCTCAAAGGTAGCTCAAAGGTTGACTATGGCCTCCCTAGACAGTCTCTGATTTCAGTCTGAATCCACAGGAAGATTTCACCTTACCCTAATGACTTGCACTGGATATCACAACACAGCAGCTGGTTTTTTGTTGTTTTTTTTTTTTTGCAATTTTTAAACAAACTATGTACAA